AACTTTTCCCAGCAGACCAGCCGCCAGCTCTCTGGTTGTTAGGAGCCATCAAGGAGCACGGCAGGAGGGTTGGGGAGCTGCTCTTGGTTCCAGCCCTGCGGCCTTGAATGAGTGACATGCTGAGAGTCTGAGTAAGGCTGTGGCAGTTGTAATATGACTTGGTTTTCAGCAAGGCCGACCTCCAGTGGCAAGGAGCTCAGTCAGTGGCTTGCGTGTCCTGTTTGGGCTGGGCTCCCAGGACAGCCGGGGAGCTCCCTTTGTCTTCCTTTTCGTTTCCATCAGTGTGTGCTCTGAGCAGCCCCATAGTCTGACCTCTTTTCAGGGAAGGCTGAGCTGGCGCTAGTGAGCTATGCTGGTCCCTGGAGCAAGCCCACCTTTTAGAAGGGACGCAGCAGCCTGGTGAGGTGCTCCGTGTCACTCTGTGACCTGCCGCTGCCCCTGCCGGGCTTGCAGGTTCCTGGAAGTTCCATGTATCACATGCACATGTCTTACCCCTATGTGATCGACGTACATCTTTCAGTAGGGAAGCCGGTGGACCTGTTAAATTGCTTTCAGGGTCTAAAGAGGAGATGAAAGTATTCTAGATGTCGGATTGGCTGTAGGAAGAAGGAAAACCCTTCAAATTCCAAATCCCCCTCCCACTTCCTTTCATGAGAATGCCGTCTGGTGGCTCCTGGGAAACAGTGACCAGCTGGCTGGTTCCCTGCATTCCCGAAGACGCCGAACTCAGTGCTCGGAGTAGTCACGCGGAGCTCCGGCAGGCGAGGATGCCTGTGAGTCTGCGGCATGGACATTTCTCCCGTGCATAACCCAGCACAGACCCAGTCAGTGCTGATGGACACCGTGGGGTTAGCACTCGGGATACTCACATGCCCTTAGGAAGCTCACAGCATTGGGGGGGAGAGAGAAATGAGCACATCCGAGATTCGCTGCGGGTCATGTTGGAAGCAGAATGGGAGAGTGGTAAGCTCCATTAGGTGTCAGGCAAGACTTGGAGTGTGTGGTGGAGGATGGTAAGAGTGCCCCAGAGGGTGCTGTGGGGTGGGGTGGGGGTGGAGAGAAGGGGGCCACATGTACAAAACACGGTCACTCCCGTCAAGCGTCAGACTTTGTGGCAAAAGTGGAATGACAAATCTGTTTTCCTCTGGGTTGCCTTTCCCTTACCTAGACTTCTGCAAGATGGCGGTCCGGCATCACTCACGTGTGGGAAATAAAGTGTCAGCCACCTGCCCTACCCCAAAACGAAGAGAGGAAGAAAGGGATAGGCCCCCGTGGGGGAGGGGAGTGCCCCAAGCTTAGTGTAAACGACGCCTTCTTTATCGTGCACTGCCCCTTTCTCTAGTGTGGTCTGTGAGCAGTGCATATTTATCAGTTACTGTTCCATGACATGTTACCACGAATCAGAGGAATAAGAGAACAGTGGCCATTTAGGTGGCAGGAGAACACTGCGCAGAGACAGACAAACTCATGACAGCAGCGGAGCCAGTGAGACACTGAGCAGAGTGGAGCCCGGTGTGTTCTCAGCTCTTGGAGTTAGTATGACAGAGGTCCTTCCTGCTCTTCGATCTCCTAAGATTCGTGATCAATCTGAGAAACTTCTCGTAATCTCTGTGTTCTACCAGAGAAGGGAAAAATAAGGAAACACAGTACGATTTGGTGGAGGAAGGGAGAGAAAGAGGTCTAGAGATGGTTTGTAAATGTCACATGGGTACCCAGGATGACAGACAAACAAGAAGGCAGGGGCATAAAGTCAGCTGAAAAATAGAAATTTGCTGCACTGTGGATTGGGGTAAATCTTGAGATAAAAGATTGGCCTAATAGGAACGTAAACAACCACTTCAGAAGTTGATTTTCAAACACTTTACAGATGGCCCCTCACTCAGGATTTGTCAACTTTATAATAAGGAGCTAAGGAGTCAGTGGAACTTGCACTTCAGATTTTGAATTTTTATCTTTTTCTGTGCTGGCAATATGCAGGATGGTACGATCCTTTCTCGTGATGTTGGACGGTGGCAGTGAGTCACAGCTCCTGGTCAGCCACGTGATACTGCCCTCTGCGTGGCCCTGAGTTCAGTGAGTTCCCTGAGATGACAGCACTGTGTTAAAGTAGGCTTCATGCTAGGTGGTTTAGCCCAGCCTTGGGTAATGTAAGTGCTCTGAGCGTGTTTAAGGTAGGGCAGGCTAAGCTATGATGTTCTGCAGATGTGCCAAGTGCATTTTAATGTACAATGTTTTCAGAGTACATGGGCTTATCCAGACAACCCCGTGGAAAGTCAGGAGCTTCTGTATTCTCTTCTCCCTCAGCCCCAGCGTTCTCCCAGCACATAGGCCAGTAACCTTCACTTCATGCTTTGTGTATAACCTTCCCTTTTCCCCCACTCTCTTCCTTTCTAGCAATACCTGCTTCTGTTACCCTAAGTCACAAGGATCCCTTGTTTCTGGTATTCCTTTAAATAGTCAGTTGATTTTTTCCATAGATTCCTGAACAGAACACATGTTGAGCGTTAAAAAATAAGAACCCCCTACCCAGATTTAACTTAGATGCCCAAGGCCGGCTGTTGGCAATGAGTGCTGTATGACAGTCGGTTAGTTATTATTAGTGACCTGGTGTGGTATCCTTCTTAGTTGTCCTATCTTTGATAGGTATCTTTTTTGTTACTCAGGTGTGAATTTTCTTTTTAGGATGTTGTAAATATGCAGTCCATTTGAAGGCAATAATTTACTTTTTCAGATCATCATACTTCTGCTCCATCAGAAAAATTATTGTTTTAATTTGTGATATTTCTATAAAGCTTAAAGTCTGTTTATTTTAAGAGAGATGCTAAAGACATATTTTTCTTACTTTAAATTTTATCTTAAAGCTTTACTCAAGGTGCGGTTGGTCTAAACCCAGAGGTGTCCGACTTGCTGACTTTGTGAGGACTTTTTTTGCTTCTGTGTCAAATACCACAAAAAGTACACATGGTCCTACAGACCCCTTTTTTTTTGCTCATCACCTGTCATTAGTGTTTGTGTATTTAGTGGCCCAAGATACCTCTTCTTCCAATGATCAACAGAGGGATAAAGATTGTACACCCCTGGGAACCATTCTCGTGGCTTCAAATAATAAGTGTTCATGGATGACTCAGCCCAGATCTTGCCTCTGCACTCCAGATGTCAGCGTCCAGCTGGAATCCATTTGCTTCTCAGGGTGTCTACCCTGTCCAGTACCGACCTAGATCCTGGCAATGGTCTTTGATGAGTCTTCCCCCTTCCACACTCATTACTTCCGTTCCGTGCTCTGTGTTACAGCTAGAGCTTCTCTTTAACTACACCAACACGTTATCTCTCACTGGGACGTGCCGTCTATTCTCAGACTCTAAGCAGTAAGAATATAAATACTGAGCAAAAGCCCCTCCCAAATGCTTCATTAGCACCAAGCCAAGAGTCCCTCTGCCTCAGCTCTCCTGACTTCTGCTCACCTGCCTCTTTTCCTCTTGGAGAGCTGGAAGGCTGTGCGTAGCCCCTGGCACGGAGCTCAGCTCTGTATTTACGCTCCTTTCATCCTTCATGTTAGAGGCACCTGCGGCTGGTTCTGTCCCCAGTTGTGCCTGGTTTCCTCTCAGGTCCAATGTCTTTAGACGAGTGAATGATGATGGCGCGAGTGCTTAGTGCCAGGCCCCTCAAATCGGGTTTGCGAGTCGAGTATAATAAATGCTGAACTTGTGAATGCCATTTAGCACTTACCAACAAACATGCAGATGTTGGTTATGAAACGAAAGTAGATTTGGGTAAGTCAAGTTGAGAGACTGAAGTATTTTGTCTTTGTGTTCTTCCTGTTCTGCTATTGTGTGGGGAAAGAAAGGTAGATTTCCTCCCTTTTTAAATTGTAAGTGGTTTTTAAATTTGAAGTGAATTAATATAAAAAGAACATTCATTCTGTAGCTTAAGAATCTGGACGGTCATTATAAAAGAATAATAGAAAAGTCACCACTTTAATAATCTCTAGCCAATAAGGACTTGAGTGACTTATAAATTTGTGATTTTTAAAATCCAAAGCTTCATATAAACGCATTTCTTGAGACAGTCACACTTACTATATTTAGGTTTACTATGGTTAATTTCCAATGTCCTGGTGCTATCCTGGTGAGGGTTTTACCCTGGTACTAAGAAATGACCAAAGGGACAAGAAAATGAGGTAACGATTGAGTCTGCTCTGGGGCAGTGACCTCCTTCTAAAAACCTTAAAAATAGTATAATTTCTCAAATACCGTAGGGATCAGTATTGGTGTCTCATCTGAACTCTGGTGAAATAAAACTCAGTAGATCACATAGTAGGTACATGATCAGTATTTAAATAGTATTTTTAAAGTCATTAAAATTGAAAACAAAACATTTAACCCAAAATCTCACATGTTTGGAGATGAGGGATACGGGATGCTGGTTGTCACCACATTGTCCTGAATCCGAGAGCTGGCAGCCCCTGTCCCTGCTTTACATGTGTCTGTCAGGGAGCTCTCCTGGGTTCCAGCTTCACACTCTCTAATTTGCTTTTAAAAAATCTGCCTTTGTTTTTTTTCTGTCAGTTCCTGAATGTATTCCAGGAGAAACAGGGAGATGCATTAGCTCAACTGGCATTGACATGAAGAAAAATTACCAGCAATTACTTTGACACTTGGAACTGGCAGCCTAAGAATCGGAATTTAGAATTTGCTGGTCAAAACGTCCTTAGGCTGCTTCTTCCTAAAACTAATAGCCAAGTCAACAGCTACCCACTGGTCAGAAGGCTGGTGTTACAGCCGTTTTGATGGATTTGAGAAGTTCTTCAAATGTGGCAAAGAATAGTTGATTATGGAGTTGTCAGATTAGCCATTTCTTATGATTAAGTGCAGAACAGATCCACATGAGCCTAAATATCTCGCCCACATAAACAAGCTTCTGTTGTACTTTCAGTTTTTTAGTAGCTCAAACCATTCCCTTTTCTGCGACCTAAAAGCCCTTGGTTTGTTTTTCTCCTCTAGTGGTTCTTAATCGCCAACAGATCATATAAGGTCAGCGCAGCCAGCTCCTTCTTCTTCAGTGGCGTGTTTGTTGGAGTCATCTCTTTTGGTCAGCTGTCAGACCGCTTCGGAAGGAAAAAAGTCTATCTCACAGGTAATCCGGTAGAGTGGCCATGAACTGTGGTAAGAGGAGATAATCAGAGGGCTGTTTCCTTACGGTTCTCAGTGAACTGGCACAGAACTGAGCGCAGAACTAATTTTTCTGACACTGCAAAAAGGCCAGACTGCAGCAGGCGTTGATTCTGGCCAAGCCCTTTTTACTGACCAGCCCACCTGGGGAAGGCCAGATATTTGCGTTGTAAACTTTTCATAGGTGATGGCGCATTCTGCAACCCCCAAATTCTAATTTGTGCCATGTTTTTAAGGAGAGTTGCAAAAGATTAAGGCAGTTTGCTGGATCTGTTTCTACAGAAACAGATCTCTGTGTGTTGATTCATTTAAATGAGCGCGGCAGGACCCGGCATAGTACCCTTGACATGAGCAAGGATCTTTCGGTTTCCAGCATTATTGTGAATAATTGAAAACTGAGGGTGAGGGGCGGAAATCATGTAATAAAGAAAATAAACCTGTTTTCTTTATAGTTTTAAGGGAAACTGTAAAAAAACATAGCTCAGAAAAGTGAACTTTACAAAGGTTTATTTTACAAACTAATGAATATAATTTATTACTTTCATCAGACGCTGTTTTGCGTCTGGATTATTGAATAATATTGTTCTCTCTTTCTAGGTTTCGCTCTTGACATCTTATTTGCTATTGCAAATGGATTTTCCCCTTCATATGAGTTCTTTGCAATAACTCGCTTCCTGGTGGGCGTGATGAATGGAGGGATGTCCCTGGTGGCCTTCGTTTTGCTGAATGAATGTGTGGGCACCGCCTACTGGGCACTCGCAGGTACTGCTGAACTCACACAGATTCAGATGTGGGAAATCCCGTGGGGAACTCGAGAGTCTGAAATGCATTTAGACTTGAAGTCCTCTATCCAATTATTAGATAGCCTTTCCTGAGGTTGTTCTGTTGACCTTGAATGAATCGTTTTATTCATATTCCCCTGTAGGAAATCTTCCACAGAGCTTGCCACCCACCCTGGTGGGTTGCCTACAAGTTACTGTGTGGGGAGTGTAGACTTCTTCAGAAGGGCATTAACTACTGTTTACAACTTAAACTGAAAAATAGTGCAGAAATAGGAAACAGCTTTTTTTGAGTCTTCTTATTATATTTCATTAAGTCTTTGTTTTACAGCCCTTTCTTGTTTTAACCCTTCCTCTCAAGTCAGCAGGTAGTACTATTATAGCATTTCTTAATTTCCAAATTTGAAGCTGTATTCTGCATTATTATTATTACTTTTTGAGACAGTTTCACTTCTGTAGAGTGCATGGTGTCACAGCTCACAGCAACCTCAAACTCTTGGGCTTAAGCTGTTCTCTTGCCCCAGCCTCCCATGTAGCTGGGACTACAGGTGCCGGCCACAATGCCGGGCTATTTTTTGTTGCAGTTGTCATTGTTGTTTAGCTGTCCCAGGCCAGGTTCCATAACCACTGTGCTATGGGCACCGAGCCCTTGCCTTATTTTCAATGTGTTCACATTATCTATATATATAGCTATGTTCACATTATCTATATATATAGCAAAATAAGTGATTTTATAAGGTTATTTGACTTACAATATTTTCTTGAGAAAGTCTAAGCCTATGTCTTAGCCTATGTCTAAGACTCTACTTTGTGGACTTAGGTTTACAATGAGAACTCTTCTGTTTGTTTTATTTTTGTTCATTTGATAAAGATTAGGTACCACTGGTATTGTTCTATTGATATGGGAAATAGGTTGACCATGTGACTGATAAAAATGAATCTGAGTGAGGATATAGGTTAATATGAGGGAATGTCACTCTCTTCCTTTAGAACTGATGAAAAGTGCCAGCTATCACTTCTGAGTGCCTGTAACATGCTGTGTACCATGCTAGGCATTTGACATATATCTATAACATCCCCAGAGCTGACAAGTTAAGAATTTCTACCTTCATTTTACGGATGAGGAAGTCGAGCCTCTGGAGGACGAGGTGACATGCCTGTTGTTCACATAGCTTATAACAGATAGGCCAGAGGAGTGCAGCCCGGGCCTGGTTGACGCCCAAGCTCATATCCTTCTCACTCTCCCCTGAGGACTCTCCTGGTGGAACCTCACCTGAGTGCTGGCCAGGCCAGCCTGTTATTTCTCACTGTTGTTGTTTTTAACGTTGGATTGAGCTGGAAGACAAAGACTAAATAAAATGGACTCTTGCTTTGTTTTATGTCCACTAAGCAGTTGGTGAGCTGAAGGATGCATAGTGTTGGGCTGGTTAGAACTAGTCTAGGGAGCGAGAGACACCAGTCCCATCCCGCCAGACGGTTTTCCTGCTGGTCTGTCACAGAGCAGAGCCTTGTCATTCCCCTTGTCTATAGCAGCATCCAGAGTCTTTTAGAACAAGCTACTTTCTCTCTAGCCCAGCTCCTGAGCTTAGGCCAGTGAGAACACGTCCTCTTGAGTCCTTAATTTGCATGGAGACTTTAAGGTCATTTTTCTCAATAGTGGGACCCAACTTTCTAGGACTTTCCAAGAATTTTTTTTTTATTTATTATTATTATTATTTTGAGACAGAGCCTCACTTTGTCACCCTTGGTAGAGTGCAGTGGTATCACAGCTCACAGCAACTTCCAGCTCTTGGGCCTAGACGATTCTCTTGCCTCAGCCTCCCGAGTAGCTGGGACTACAGGTGCCTGCCACCCGGCTATTTTTTGTTGTTGCAGTTTGGCTGGGGCAGGATCTGAACCCTCCACCCTCAGTATATGGGGCCAATGCCCAACCCACTGAGTCATATGCACCACCCCTTTCCAAGAAATTTGTAACGTTGGCAATCACAGCTGCTCCCTGGGTCCAGGGAAAGCATTAAGGCACTTTCTTTTTTGATTTCAGTTTTCCTGAGGGCCAAAACTGTGCACATATAAAGCATCATTAATGCATATTTTTTATGTATCTGACACATTTCTTCATTAAAATGTTCACACTTGACTTTAGTTGTTGCATGGGCATGAGGATGCTTTTTTACAAAAACTGTGTACTGTCTCCACCCTGGCAGATTATGTCAGGATTATCCCTGTCTTGTCGCATGTTGGATAAAAAGAAAGACCTCCTGGTCTCTTGCTCCCTTGCCAGTGGCCTGAAACCAGTGGAAAGATTCCAATTAAAGTACTTTGACCTTCTGTTCTTGTCATTGAAGCCGGATTAAGATGAGGCTATTAGATTTTCTATAGCAAAGAAAAAAAAGGAATCAGGAAAAAGCCCTTAACAGTGTCACCAGATGGTTGCCAAATTCAGTGAGCATGAGAGTTCCCCAAGGGCAGGTACAGTGACCTGCAAAGGGACAGAGTAAGGCTCCCATCACACTGAGAGCCCTTTGGTGAGGAGCTTCTCTCCCCGTCTTGTGCACTGACGTCTTCCCCATGGTTTTGTCCATGTCAAGCTGGTTTCTCCCCAGCACGATCTTATACAAACAAGCTCATGACCTCAAGAAGACGGAGAAGAAACTAAATGTTCAGCAATGGGGGATTCTTTAGAAACAGCCTAATTATTTAGCAATAAAAAATTAGTTGGTAAAATTATTCTTGATTACAAAATACTTGCAGTATTTATAAAGCAATGTGTAGAGTATGTATGAAAAGCCTAAGTACAAACCGCAAGCATCCGTTTTGGACCAGTTTGCAATATAATGGTTCAGAAGAAGGAGGAGGCTAACTGCAGAAAATTATTGAGGACTGAAAAACAGAAAATACTAAAGCTGTGACATTTTTATAGAGCTGTATTTATTATTTGTTTTCTTATATTAATGTCTTTGTATAACAGAAAGAATTGGTGATCATTGTAAAAAATAATCGAAAAATGTGTACAGGTCTAACCAAAAAAATACATGTAGTCCTAGCCCCATCGGGACGACTGTGGTTAACATCTTGCAGGGCGTGCTCCAGAGCTTTCCCTATGCATATTTCTGCCATAGCATTCGTTTACTGAAGAGACCCTGCCTTACACCAGACGTTGCTTTAATAGACACTTTGGATAACAGACTGGATGAGACAGGGATGTGTGGGGAGAGGTCCTGGGTCTCATGGAGCTTATGCCTTAATTAGGGAAGGCAGAGCAAGTAGGTGAAAACTAATAGGTGAAGTTTCTAAGTATAATGAAGAAAATTAAACAGGGTAAAGGGCTAGGCAGTAATTGCAGGTGGTAGTTACCTGAAGTAGGAGAGTTAGAGAAAACCTCAGTGCAGGTGTTAGATCTAAGACATGACTGGTAAGAAAGCTCTAAGCGTGTGAAATTCTGGAAGAACATTCCAGCCAGATGGAATGACAAGGACTAAGGACTAGGTCCTGAGGCAGGAAGGAGCTTCTTTGAGAACTGAAGGGATGCCCGTGGCTTCGGTTTAGAGAGTTAGGGCAAGAGCGAAGTGAGAGGCTGGAAGGGACCAGACGATACCGGGCCCACGATAGGCCAAATGAGGAATTGGTTTTGTTATCTGAAATACAGTGAGAAGCCAGTGTGGTATATTAAAAAGAAGGGCAATAGGATCTCGTATGTACAGAAAGATACCCTGGCAGGTGTATGAAGAATAGATGGTTGAGGAGAAAGTAGAAATTGAGGGATCATTGAGTAGGTGGTTGTGGTTGTTCACGTGAAATCAGTCGTGTCTCAGACAAGACGGGAGCCGTGGAGCAGGAGGACAGAGGGTGCATTTGAGCTGGATTTGGGTGGGAGGGGGACTTGATACAGGACCTGCAGAGATGGAGAGGGAGAGGACTCAAAGAAACTTTATGGTTTGCATTTAAAAACTGGATGGCTTATTGGTGCCATTGACAAAGATGAAGTCATAGCAATATACCATTTTCTAACCTGCTGACATTTAGTTTTTACTAGGATAAACAAGTCTGCTGGTTTTAAATGAATTAAAAACAAATAAAAATAGGCTCGGTGCCTGTGGCTCAAGTGGCTAAGGTGCCAGCCACATACACCTAAGGTGGCGAGTTCGAATCTAGCCCAGGCCCGCCAAACAATGACAGCTGCAACCAAAAAATAGCCAGGCGTTATGGCAGGCGCCTGTAGTCTCAGCTACTTGGGAGGCTGAGGTAGGAGACTCGCTTAAGCCCAGGAGTTGGAGGTTGCTGTGAGCTATGATGTCACAGCACTCTACCTAGGGGAACAGCTTGAGGGTCTGTCTCAAAAAAAAAAAAATCTAAAATATAGAATATATTTAAAGGCGTATGAATAAATAGTTAGAGAGCCACCTGTGGTCCTCCAGGGTTATAATATACAAAAATGATGACTTGCTGTGTTCATTTTTTATTAATTTTTTAAACCAAATAGCAGAGAATAATTTACATTTACATCTCTGTACCTTCTCCCTGTTGTCAGTTCCAGACACATACATGTAGCTTCCCGCTGGACATTAGCTGGACATTAGATGTATCTGTTAGACCATCCAGTAAAAATTATTACTTTCTTTCCACCTAAAATCTCTGTCTTCTGGGATCTCTGCTTATGTCATCACAGTATTGAAAGTCACCAAACTAGATCCTTTGAATCATTTCCTCTTGTCCTCCTATCCTGTTGTTGTCTAGTTGTACTGACTATGAGAGAGACTCGACTCTAATGAGCTCATACGTGAAGGGAGACCATTTAGTTCACATAACTAGACCACGAGCCAGGCCTTGGAGATGCTCTGAACCAGGAAGTCAGATGCTTCTCGTCCCTGCTCCCCACCATCTCTGAAATGCTTCCTCTGCTCAGTCAGAGACGGGGCCCAGGAGCATCAAGACTAGCATCTAGTCTATTTGAGATCCTGGGTGAGAACTCTGTCTGGCCCAGGTGGAGTCATTCTTTAGTTGGGGACACTATAGTTGGCAGCCCCCACTTGAATCACACAGATAAAGTAAAAGATCTGTTCTCCAATAGTGAGGGAGCTGTCTTAGGATGAGAGAGCAGAGCTAGGAGGAGATATTCTGCATAGAAGGAGCTAAACCCAGATTACAGCAAGACAATATAATCAATATCTGGGTAACATGATTATTTCATCTGAATCAAATAAGAATTACCTTTTGAGGTAGGTATTGTTATTTCCATTTCACTAATGAGAAAACCGAGGCTCAGAGACATTTAGCCATTTTCTCAAGGTTGCACAGTAGCACCTGGCAGAAGTAGTATCTGAGCTCTGTTCCTTGGAAACCGTCCCATCCTTGGAATATCTTCTTTTTGTCTACATTGTTGTCAAGGGATACTGAGTGCTCAGAACTGTTCTGAGCAATGACAAGAAGCCTTATTCTTGGAAGGCACATGGTATTTGATGTGCTGTAATGAACCTGTAATAGCTATTGATCATCTCAGAAGATGTGTTCTGAACATGCCAAAGTGCCATCAGCTCCCTTTTCTGGCTTATTTCTGGCTCTCTGCTTTCCTTGCTAGGACAAACAGTATACAAGTCATCATTCTCCATTACAGAGGGATAAGCTATGGACAGGAATCAAATAAAACATTGGTTTTACAGGATGGTTGTAGAAAAATTTTGTAACATGACGCATAAAGTTTTGCTGCTGTGAAATGTCCACAAAAATTGCCTATCCGTAGCAGGGAGGTAGGAGAGAAGCCTGGTGTCGCACCTAGACCGTCTCATCAGACAGACCTGGGGACTAGTCCTGGCTCTGCCACCTACAGCTCTGGGTCCTCAGGTAGCTTCACTGCCACTCTGAGCTATTTCCTCACTTCAGTATTTGACTGATAATGCTGCTTGCTTTATGGGACAATGTATGTAAAATGATTATGCTCAATAAATAGTAGCTGATATCCCTACTGATAGCAATAGTAGCAATTATAGAAAGTGTGTCAGAGGCATAGAATTTGCAAGAGTATTGGGCAAGCCAGTGCGTTTCAATATCTATTTCAAAAAACATATAAGATTCTTTACAATTCTCTGGTTTATATTTTTGCATCAATATGCTGACAAAAATCCATGCTTTGAGGAGTTCCTGTCCCCACCGTACCTTTTTTTTAGAGACAGAGTAATACTCTGTCACCCAGGTTAGAGTGCAGTGGCATTATCAAAGCTCTGCAGACTAGAACTCCTGGGCTCAAGAGAGCCTCCCACCTTAGCCTCCCTAGTAGCTGGGACTATGGTCATGTGCCACCTTTTTTTTTTTTTTCTGAGACAGAATCTCACTTTGTCACCCTGGGCAGAGTGCCATGGCATCATAGCTCACAGCAACCTCAAAACTCTTGGAATGAAGCGATCCTCTTGCCTCAGACTGCCAAGTAGCTGGGACTATAGGTGTGTACCATCATGCCCCCCCTAGTTTTTTCTATTTTTTTTTTAATAGAGATGGGGTCTTGCTCTTGCTTGAGCTGGTCTTGAGCTGCTGAACTCAAGCAATCCACCTGCCTCAAGCTCCCAGAGTGGCTGGATGTGAGCCACCATGCATGGTCTTAAAAAAAAAATTTACAGTATGTGGCATACCTCTCTGGGGGCAGGACACAATTATAAGAGGGACTTTATCTGACAAATGCAATTAGCATAACCTAATTCTTCGTACCTTCAATGAATCCCAAACAAAAAAAATGAATAAATGAAAAAAAATTTTAAAAATTTTTTGTAGAGATGGGATCTTGCTGTGTTGCCCTTACTAGCCCTGAGCTCATGCAGTCCTCTCACCTTGGCCTCCCGGAGTGCTGGGATTACAGGTATCAGCCACCATGTCCACCCTCTTCAGAGTTTATGGTCTACTGGGGAGATAGATGAGAAACAAATAATTACAAAATGTTGTATACCTCAGGGAAAGGCAGCAGGGAGAGTTGGGGAGTGCGTTGTGATTTCAGATAACAATGTCAAGGACAACCACAGTGATAAAGACTAAACCCCAGTATTGCAATAACCTCATGACCTAAAAACCATATCACGCATCTCCAACCCTCAGCCACAGGTTCAGGCAGATGCAGTCTGAGAGTCAGTGTGGACGGCATTTGGGCAAACTCTTATAATTCATTTTTTCTCCATATGGTTTGTATTTTTCGTCTGTCCTTCCCCCATTTCCACTAATTTTCCGCCCTCTCTTAGAGTTTTGTCATCTGATGCTCAACATTTGGATACATTTTTTTCTTTCCTGGTCTGCCGCTTGCACTTGCCAGGGTAGGGCTGACATCTCACAAGGAAAGAATTGGCTCTGTGACTTGGGGTTGGAAATGGCGCGACAGATGGTACTTTCTCCAGTGACAGTTCTCTTTTCCCCAAATTAGGATCGATTGGCGGCCTCTTCTTTGCAGTTGGCATTGCCCAATATGCCCTGTTAGGGTACTTCATCCGCTCCTGGAGGACCCTAGCCGTTCTGGTTAACCTGCAGGGGACAGTGGTCTTTCTCTTATCTTTGTAAGTAGTTTTTCCTCTTAGAGTTTTAATTGAATAAGCCGAAGGAATGTTTTAAGCAGATGCGGGTCAATGAGCGACGTTATTCCCTTTCAGGAGCTTGCCTGCACTGACTTTGGTGAAGAATTAAATTCCGCAAGTGCTGCAATTCTTGGCAGCTCCTGGGATGGGAGATGCTTAATTAATTCAGCATGCAGGTATCCCTTGTTTAAAGCTAACTCTTCGTAGGCTGCGTTTTAACTTTCAGATTATTGGCAGAGAGAATCAGTTTCTTTTCCAGCTTAACACCTCAAGCTCACAGGTCGCTAGGCTGGATCATGTGCTGGGTGTGAGACTGGGGTGTGAAGCTGGGTAGAGCGTATATGGACTACGGGTGGTGACACGTGCTTATCCCACAGGTGAGTACCAACTCAGGGCCTCTAAGTGTGGCGTCTGGAGCAGGCTCAGACATGGGAGAGGTCCTTTGAAGGAGCCCAAGCCAGAAAAGGATGATTCCTCAGTCAGGACAGGGTTCTATAAATGACTGGCCGTGGCGTCACACTGGGGTGCTCTAAAACACCCCCAGATGCTGCAAGACGAGTCTCCAGCTTAGGCTCAATTTACCGGAAGTTTTAATGTGGCATATGAGAAGCCTTTCTTCCCTCAAGCATTAGATCTCTGATTTTAATCATCAAAATCTTTGGCATAAACAAAATGTACAGCCACTGGTACTGACTTTCTTCTGTGCCATAAAGTGAGAGGGATCTACAGTAGCATTTTAACTCAATAGCTCTTTAACTTAGTAGCTCTTTATTCAGTCCTATATTGAGGTTTGTTGTTTCTTTTTTTCTTTTGAGATAGGATCTTGTTCTGTCGTCCAGGCTAGAGTACAGTGGTGCCATTATAGCTCACTGTAACCTCAAACTCCTGGGCTCTAGTAGTCCTCCTGCCTCACCCTCTTGAGTAGTTGGGACTACAGGTGCACACCACCATTCCTGGCTAACTTTTTTTTTTCTTTGTAGATATGGGGTCTCCCTCTTGCTCAGGCTCATTTCAAACCTCTGGCCTCAAGCAGTTCTCCCTCCTTGGCCTCCCAAAGTGCTAGGATTACAGGTGTGAGCCACCTTGCCCAGCCTACATTGAGATTTGATGGGGACTGAACTGAAATTTGTGTTCATACTACTTTTGAGACCAAGAGAATTGTTAAGTGCAAAAATGAATACAGTAGGAATACCCTGTGTTATAAAAGCAGAATTCATTAAATGTGTTTAGTTATGTGAAATCAAGTGAGGTAGTTTTCTTAGGAAGGAGAAATAACAGTATTTTATTGGCTTCTGTATTACAGATTTTTGAAAGTAATAAATGGGTGTCTAGCATAGTACTTTAAATTAATAAGCATTCATATAAATATTAAAGAATAAACATATTTTAAAATGTTGAGTCAATCTCCCCCTTCTCTGCCCATCTGACTCTCATCGCCCCTTCAGCAGTGGCCCCACTTCATGGATTGCCCGAGTCATTCTGCTCTTCTTTCTCCAATGTGTAGACTGGCTTAGTTACTGCTTAGCACCAGGTTGGGACGTACCCTTGCTGGACGGGAGTCCGGGTTCTGAAACACAGAAAGCAAAGGGAGAAGACGCCATGAGATTTGAACACATGCTTCCTCGGGTAGCCCTGGAGCACCGGGCTTCCCACAGTCCACCTCCAGTTCACACCTTCGTCTCCTCCCATCCCGTCCCCACAGCTGTGCTCAGGCACACTGAGCCCCTCATCCCAGCTCACCTCTGCTTTTCTGCTCTGTGCCCCTGCTCAACGCTGCACCTGCTCAACGCCGCCCCATCTCCTCTTATTTAATTACTATTCCATCTCCCTGGTTTGCTCACACGCCACCACCCAAGCTTTCTCTGATCATATGTCCAGCTACAAGTCATTCTCTTTCTCTTTGGAATTCCATAGCCCTTACCTGTACCTCTGAGTGAATGGGCATCAAATTTCTGCTCATCCCGAAGCCTCTCTCTCCTCCTCATTGGGAAGCTCTCTGACAGCAGCAACCTCTGTGCTCCACGGTTGTGGTTTTCCCAGCACCCAAGCCAGGGCCTTCTGTACAACAGAGCCTGTGTGGGTGCAGAAATGTGGCCAAATGTGGGTGCAGAAATACTAAAAATTAGCTTCAGAATTAGCCACCAATAACAAAAGAAGGCAAATTATACCCCTTGCTTGTTTGTTTGCCAGAAACATTTTTACCTAGCTTAAATATTCCTTATTTTCACAGTACTTGAATTTGATTCATGTCTTAAAAAATCAGTGCCTCCTTAATTTATAAAGATTTGCCATCTTTAAGGATATTCACAGAACATTGTCAAGCAGAGGTAACATTGTTAAATGAACATGTTAGCGTCCAGAGGAGACCATGGCACAGGTGGCCCCGCCACTGTGTGCAGCACAGCTCACTCGAAGGCCTGCTCCTTCTTTTAGAAGTGTGCGTTCCTGTTTTGTATTTATCATCTGCATGTGTTGGAACTCATTTTCCCAAATCTGTCCACTGACAAGTAGGTGACCCTTTGTAGAAGTAACTAAGCTTATTGGCCTCTAAAAATAAGGAGAAATAATATAAGTTCCTAAGTTTGTATGATCAAAATAAACCCTTCCCCTAGAAGGGTTTTAAAAACACAGAACAAAATTTTCAAAGCATCATCCATAAAAATGATTTATAACCTTTGAAAATAATTGTCATGGCTTGTAAATAATTCTGAAAACACAGAGGCTGACAGGTTGCCGAAGATGATGGTTCACAATGGTAATGACTGTGAATATTTTGGTACCTTTCCTATTGGTTCTGTTTCCCTCTTCTCAAGTGTTGCTCAGTTTTAATTTTTATTATCTTCTGCCTCTTCGTGTATCACTGTAGTCTTTTATTTAGACATCATCAGGTAGTTGTACACAGTAGCTCACATAAAGTCTTGTGGACGGGACCAGTTGACCCGTTTGATGGTCTGCAGACTTAACTTCCAGCAGAACACTGTTTTACTAGATCGTTTACTTGCATGCCACTAGTAATCGAGTGGCAATGAAGAATTAAATAGAGGGACTTCTCCGGATGCTGTAGGTGGCCGTTGTTCCTACTTGACTGACAATCAGATGTGTCACGTGAATATTCTCTTCCCTGGTTAGCAAAGCTCCTGGGGAAATTCCTGCCTTTTTGTTGCCCCTTAGCACCTGTTTGTGTCACTCTGTACAAAATTGAACTGCTCGAGTGGTCAGTGATGGACAGCTGTCCATTGAGGGTCCATCCTGTAATGTTGTAGCTGCTCACTGTCCTCATTGAAAGGCACAGTGAATTCTATCAAGTGCCTTATATAGCCAGTACTAAGTTTCATTTTAGGCAGATCATGTCAAATTAGATCAAAAGTACTTGATGCTATGTTTAGTAACCAAGGCTTCCATGTTCCCTCCTTGGTTTTGCCTTTGAAAAGTCCTCTGAAATTGTGTGCAGAACTGGGAAGACACAAAGAGATTCGTGGTGTTTAAGTCTTGAAGCTGTTTGAAGATGTCAGTGGCAAAATAATCGTCCAACACTTTTGGAAAGTAACAGTTGGATTGTAGCTAGCAGTTAGCCAGAAATTAACTTTTATTCTTCAAGGTCTTGGAGGATCAGGAGATACTCTGAAGACTTATAAAAGCTAAGGTGTCAGGTGATTTGAGTATTCTGAAGCAGTAAGTGCTCAAAAGTAGCTGTAATAAACTGTTTCATTTTTATGTGCAGTCATAAAACAATCTCTGCCTCCTAAACAACATAATGCTATGTTAAAAACACTTCACTTTTTTTTTTTTTTGGAAACAGAGTCTCACTCAGTCACCCTGAATAAAGTGCTGTGGCATCACAGCTCACAGCAACCTCAAACTCTTGGGCTTGAGCCATCCTCCTGCCTTAGCCTCCCAAGTAGCTGGGACTATAAGCGCCTGCCACAATGCCCAGCTAGTTTTTCCTATTTTTAGTAGAGATGGGGTCTCACTCTAGCTCAGACTGGTCTTGAACTCCTGAGCTCAGGCAGTCCATCTGCCTTGGCCTCCCAGAGTGCTAGATTACAAGCATGAGCCACCCAAACACACTTCACTTTTTGTAAAATCTGTTTTTTTCTGATGAGATAATAAATATTTCTATCTACTATATGAGACTCTCAGAACTTAAAAAGCCCAGTGTCTCTACAGTATTATTCTAACAACATTTGGCTAGGATTTGCAGGGGGGGGACCTCAGCCTTGGGACCGTGTGTGGTCTTCTGGACCCTTCAGCGCAACCTTGGGACCATGTGTGGCCTTCTGGAACCTTCAGTGCAACCAAATTTTACAGAATAAACCCTTTTAATAAAAGGATTTGTTCTGTGATGTTTGCATTTTGTCAAGGGACCACACTTGGGGATCAGAGGGCATTGGTCGGTACTATAAACTTACCTTGACAGTCACATGTTAAAATTTATTTAAAAGTAAATGCCTACTGCTTACTTTTTTAAACCACTGTTTTGGAAGCATGCTCTGGGTTCTGGTGATGAAGTAGGCTGCATTTAACGCTGGGCTGCTGCTGAAGGCAGTGCCTGTATCTCTGGGAGAGGCGAGCTTTGAGCCCAGCAGGGAGCCCCTTTGTGGCGAGGGGATCCACGGACCGAGTGGGTGATTTTTCTCCTTTCTGAGCACGTGTACCTAGATGAATACACAGCCTTTAATGACGTCTCTTTCAGATTCATTCCTGAATCACCTCGTTGGTTATACTCCCAGGGTCGCCTGAGTGAGGCTGAGGAAGCCCTGTACCTCATCGCCAGGAGGAACCGCAAGCTCAAGTGCACCTTCTCACTAAAACATGCAACCAACAGGAGCTGCAGGGAGACCGGAAGTTTCCTGGACCTCTTCCGTTACCGCGTTCTCCTAGGACACACTCTGATCCTGATGTTCATCTGGTAATTAAACCGAAGGGGTGTCTGGATCTTCCGCTCAGCTGGCTAAAGCTCTCTCAGTTGTCTCTCCCCTCTTTACAACTACTGACAGCTTTCCCTGTTTTGTCAGCAAGAGGCTGTTTTTGTAAAACCAAGGCCCCTGTCCCTTAGCTCGGGCATTGTGTGTACCCTGCTGTCACAGCACTGTCTCCCCAGCGGTGGGCAGGTCCTCTGAGCTTAGTAAACTTTGCTCTTGAGGTATTCAATGTAAAATGTAAACACAGAAGGTACCAAAAAAAAGTATGTACATTTTAAGAAATGAAGAAACTGTCTTAAATTTGTGGTACTCCACATATGAGTCTTGCAGTTATAAGAGGTGCTCACTGGGACTTGTATTCATCTGTTGTTATTGGTTTACATATTAAATTACAATTTTAAAAGTCTTTTTCCTTTCTTAAGATGTAGATACATTCCTCACCAAAAGGAAAGAAAGTGAACAAGCATACCAGAAACAGCAGAGCCTCTAAATAGGACTTTTAAAAATCCCTGCCTTTGGCTGTGGCATCAAGGAATTTCCCAGTGCCCTAGTCACAGTGCCCTGTGCAGCACCGAGACATGCTGAATGTCACCCATCGTAGAGGGGGGCCCCAGGAGCGTGACATGAGGAACCGGGGGCCGTGTGCGCAGATCAGTGATGGGACCGATGAACACTCTCCGATGAACACTTTAGTTTAGTGTCAGCTAAACACTGACTTTCTAGTTGTCCCACCCACTCAGAAAGGGCTCTCAGTGCGTATGTAAGTTGTATTCAGGGTTTCAGGAGAGCTCCATTTTAAAACTGAATTTTAGAAAGGAGAGAAATGGATGGGCATGTACAAGTTGTAGATTTCACAGATTTTTAATATTATGCATTCTGCTTAAAGGGTCGTAATGATCAGACCTACTGGCTAAAGGACTGGCCTGTTACATTGGGGCTTGTGTGTGTCTGCCCCGAAGGCTGTGTTACTGAAAACTCAGCGCTAGCTCTAGAGGCTGCCCCAGAAGGAGAGCAAGTGGTTTGAGGACAAGGAAAGAGGAGTTTATTACTTTGTTGTCGAAGGAGGGAGAGTGGCAGATTATCCTCTCAAAATACCAAATTTCCTTAATTTAAGCAGAAAGGTTGAGCTTTTAAAAGAGAGGACCTTTTGTCAATCAGCTGCAGTCAGAGATTAGATTCTAATTGTCCGATCTCTGCCCGTGACAAAGCCAGGACCTCCACCCACCTGGAAGGCAGTGTGGATCTGCACCCCCACCTCACACAGTTCAGCTGAACCATTGCTTGTAGCACAAAGAACATAAGACCTCCCCCCGCCGCCCCTCTGGACCACAGCCAGCTGGAAACAGAGCTCAAAGCAGGCCTCAGTTTCCAAAAAGCACAGGGGAGTTTTTAAAAGGTAGAAAACATTCTTGCCCTTTTCCCCCAGACCGTCCCTCTGTTACAGCTGCTGTAACTCTGTACTTTCATGTGGAGACAAAGGAAAGTGATGTTATAGGAAGGTGATCTCATGTATGAGCTAAAAAAGCACAGTAGCTTGAGAATAAGAAGCTGCGGAGATGTTTTTCTGTATCACGATGCTCTTTTCCTGACCTCTGTTTCTGCTTATGTTCAGGAAATTTGGTATTTTGAGAGGATCATCTGCCACTTTCCCTCCTTTACTGATGAAGTAATAAGCTTCTCTTTGCTTCTCTTCAAACCACTTGTTCTCATTCTGCTGCAGCCTGGAGAGCCAGCTGAGCTGTGGGGAACAAGCCCTGGTGGCAGACATGTGCAAGCAGACAGGCTGGCCACTGCCTTTCCGATCGGGGCCCTGTCGCACCAGCTACTCCCTTCCTCTTCAAAGCCAGCTCAGTGCCGGAAATATCACACTTGCATAATACCCGTGGAAGCTTGGAGGCATGGCGATTAAGAGAACTTTTGAAAACCAAACTCAACAATATGGCATACGCACTACTAATTTGAGGTTCTGCCTCTTCAACAGCAGATATTCCCAAAATATATTCCAATCCCTACGGATGGGAATAAACTCACCATTCACCTGTCACAGGCAGCCAGATAAACCCTCTGTCTTGGAGCAAGTTCCTACTTGTTGGAGATTATTTACTGTTTTTATTTTTGTTTAAGATTTTTATTTTTTCCATATCTAATGTCCTGGTTCTGGTACTCAGTGGATAAGACAAAAAGCTAGACTTAGGGCCAGTGAGGCCATCCCTATTTACTGCATATACAGCCAAATAAACCTCTTGCCCCAGGCTTGGCATGTCCAACCTCATGAAAATAGAGACGATGTCGTTCCACGATTGCTGTTCTTTTTGAAGATGCTATAAATTTCTAAGGTCTTTTCTGTGGCTCTGTACTGAAGAAAGCCTTAACTAGGGATCAAAATGATACCCCATGCCTTTTAAAATAATGCTCTGGTGCCCTAAATATACTGTTTAAGATTGTGAAAGCATTTTAAATTTTGTCTGGGGCTCATAAGGAAGACTGAAATGATTTCATCAGCCTTCATTATGGATCCCCATGACCTTCTCTTCTAGAAAGGCAACTTGAAAAGCAGGAGACCCAGCCTTAGGGGTGATAAGGCTTATGCTCCCCTAGTCCCTTTCACCACAAACTGGTAACTAAATACTTCTATTGTCCTATGGCTTTGTTTGTTCTTGCCCTGACTTGATACCATCGCAGCTTGGTCAAGTAAGTCTTGAGGCTGGAATTACTGTGCTGGAATTGCCATTGTAAATGCAGACAGCGTACTGGGAAGTAGCGTTATAGGAGGAGGAGGGTCTCTGCTGCTGGTGGAAGGGAGTTTTAAAATATTTTTGAAAACCACATGATTTAAATTTGTCTTCTGCTTACATACAAGGTGCCTAGGGGACAGAGAAAATAGACAACTCAGTGTCCCCGTGCATCCTGACACATGACAGCCTGGCTGTAACTCTGCTTATCCTCCTTAGTAACGGGGTGACAGCTCTCTTCCAGTAAGAAGTAATGGGAAGTAGTTGCTGCTTCTGGCTCATTTGCTAGGGAGGGATGAACCACTGGCCAGTCTAGCTCCAGGGGTCCCTCGCTCCTCCTCCCCATCCTCTCCCCTTACTATGACCCATTCTTAATAGCCTGGGGTACTTGGTCCACGCCTGTGTTTTGGAAGAGATGGAAATTTTTGCTTTCTTATTTGATCTCATCATAGCCACATTTCATTAGACTTTTTTCTAAGCAAAACTAAATGGAAACAAACGAGAATTTCCTCTTAATAAATACTGGTCACACTGAATTACAAACGCATAAATTCTAAGGAACTTAAAGCTCAGGTGTTTTACTGCTTGTATAGAAGTTTATGGTTTACCAAATATATTCACATGCTAATAAAGCCCAGTTTCAGGGTTTTGTTTTTGTTTCTTCCGTTTTCTTGTGTTGTTTTTAATAATGCAGTTTCCTAGGCACAAAAGATTCCATTACTACCTTCCGTTTGAGAAGGCCCTGATTTGGAATTTCATGCTGGCACTCTGGCCCCCTGCTCAGCCTTAGTTCTCAGATTGCAGGAGATAAGCTTGGTGCCTCCAGAAAAGCCTGCCCCCAGGAGGCACTCCCTAAGTGTTTGTTTCAGGAACAGTGTGTATAAAATACATTAATGACTTATTTATTTTGCTCCTGTTCTGGGTGTCTATAGACTGTATACCTACTGCGCACAGGGTGAGGTTAAGACCCAGACTGGGAGGTGACTGGATCATCAGGATGGAGTGCCAGTCATTTCTGGTCTGCAGATGACCCTCTGAAGGTCCAGTCACTTCTCAGCCTCTGTAGTCAATACCGGCCTCTGTTGGCCTTCTCCATGGGAGGTCTTCTCTAGAATCATTCTGATGATATCACAACCACCTATGGCAAATGTTCCATCAATTATTGAATTAAAGAATAGGGTCATTGTTTTCTATTAAATGCAAAAGTGCTCGCTGAAAGCACAAACAATGTCTTTCATCTTTCAGTGGCTAGCCATTCATTTGATTTGTGTAACATACCGATATGACTCAAATCATTTCCAAGGCTCCATTATTTTTTTTCCCTAGTATAGAAATTTAGATTAAGACAGAATGATTAGTGGGAGAGTCAAGCTTTTTGCTTGTAGCAGATTGCATTGTATTAAACCAAAATTTGAATCTTCTCTGACAAATTTTTATGTGTTTTTTCTTTTTCTGTCTTTTCCCTCCCTGTTCTTTGACCCCCAAATGCAGGTTTGTGTGCAGCTTGGTGTATTATGGCCTAACTCTGAGTGCAGGTGATCTAGGTGGAAGTATTTATGCCAACCTGGCCCTGTCTGGCCTCATAGAGATCCCATCTTATCCTCTCTGCATCTACTTGATTAACCAAAAATGGTGAGTATGGACAAATACAACATAATTAAAGAAAACGTGCATGTACACACACACACACTCTTCAGCGTAAGTACCTAAATATTAGTGTCTTTGTTTATATGCAGTCTCTGCTGATTACTTCATGGTGATTAGAGTTTCTTTTAGGCCAAATACAATTATGAATAGAATTCATTTTTTTAGTGCAGTATTTCTTGGGTTTCATAATTATGAGTTTTCATATAGCTTTTAGATAGATTCCAGTCCAATATTAAATATTTGAAATCTAAAATGGTATATTTTTTAGGTTGCAATGTTTGTATTTGTTAGATAGAGTCCCTCTTGTAGTTGCATCCCACACCCAAGAAGTGTGCTATGTCCTTAACTTGTGCCCACTAAGTGGGAGCACACCAGTCCCTCTCCCACCCTCCCTTCTACTCCCTTCTTCCTTCCCCTTCCCTAAAATGATACTGAATATCACCATCAGAGGGTCTTTGAATAGTCTATGTATAACTTGTCAATTCTAAGAGATAGGATTATTAGCTTTATGTGGGTAAAACTTCATAAAACAAATTAATAACATTTAGAAGTTCTTACAAGAAGGCAAACAATTAAAGAAAACCTAAAGACTTTCTGTTATTTATTTAAATTTCAAAATAATAAGGGGGTACAAGTGTTTTTGTCATATGGATACCTTGTATTAATGTAATGCTTAAGCTGGGGCTTTTTTAATGCCCATCACCAGAATAGTGGTCATTGTACCTGACGGGTGAGTTTTACCCCTCATCTCCTTCCCCCTTCTCCCCCTTCTTGGTCTCCAGTGTCCTTTACATCTCTTTGTGCCGGTGTGCCCGTTGTTTAGCTCTCACTCATGAAAGAGGACGTGTTTTCTTTTTTATTCCTGAGAAACTTTGCTCAGGATAATGGTTTCCAATTCCAAGTTGCTGCACACATTGTTTCGTTCCTTTTTATGCTCCATGGTATTATATGTGCTGCATTTTCTTTATCTACTCATGAACTGCTGGGCACTTAGGTTGATTCCACATCTTTGCAATTGTGAACTGTACTGCAATGAACAGTCGAGGACAAGTGCCTTTTTTTATACCTTAAAATCATTTTTTAAAAAGCCTTATATGACTAACCCATGGCCAACATCAAACCAAATGGGGAAAAGTCGAAAGTATTCCCCCTAAGAACTGGAACAAGGCAAGTAAGCCCATTGTCACCACTTCTATTCAACATAGGACTGGAAGTCCTAGCTGCAGCAGTCAGGCAAGAAACAGAAATAAAAGACATCCAAATTGGAAAAAGAGGAGACTGAACTATCCCTGTTCACTGATGATATGGTTTTATATTTAGAAAAATCCCAAAGACTCCAACAGATGACTCCTAGATTATTAAATAAATTCAGTAATGTCATGTTACAAAATCAGTGTACACAAATGATTAGCATTCCCACCTACTAATAACAGTCAAGCTGAGAGTCAAATCTAGGACTCAGTAGTGTGTACAGCAGTCATAAAGAAAATAAAATACCTGTACATTATTTGAACAATAATTTTTAATTCAACTTGTTAATATGTTGTTTAGGATATTGCATCCTCATTTATAAGTGAAGTATGTTTGTAATTTTCCTTTATAATAATACACTTTTTCCAATTTTAATGTCAGATATGTCCAGATGAAGTAGAATGAATTTGAAATATTTCTTCTTTCTCTGTTATCTATCAGATTTGACATGATCTGTTTTTGGAAATTATCTTTTATTTTTGTTATTAAGTATTAGTTGTTTATTTTTTGAGACTTTGGAAAAAATTTTAAAAATAAAAAAAAAAGAAAATACCTAGGATTATAAGGAGGTGGAAGATCTCTATAAGGAGAACTACAAAGCATTGATAAAGAAATCATAGATGACAGAAACAAATGGAGAAATATGAGATGCTCATAGACTAGTAGAATCAACATGAAAATGTTCATACTGCCCAAAGCGATTTACAGATTCAGTGCAATCCCCATCAAAATATCCCCTAGCAAAAACATTCCTAAACTCATTTGGAACCAAAACAGAGCCCAAATAGCCAAAGCAATCTTAAGCAAAAAGAACAAATTTGGAGGCATCACATTGCCTGACTTCAAATTATACCAGTGGTTCTCAACCTGCCTGATGTCACAGCCATTTTAATACAGTTTCTGTGGGTTGTGACCCACAGGTTGAGAACTGCTGAATTGTACTAACAGGCTTATAATAAGCAAAGCAGCATGGTACGGGTATAAAAATAGCTACATAGAATGATGGCCTAGAATAGGAGATAAAATAAAAGCATCTGCTTACAACCAACTGCTCTTTGACAAAACAGACAACCATGTACACTGGGGAAAGGAAGTCCTATTCAATTATTAGTGCTGGGAAAATTGGATAGCCACATGCAGAAGAATGAAACAGGACCCCTGTCTCTCACCATATACAAAAATTAACTTCAGGTGGATGAAACACTTAAATGTAAGTCATGAAACTAAAACAATTTGAGAAGAAAATGTAGGAAGAAGTCTTCTAGATGTCAGCCTAGCAAAGAATTTGTGACTAGGACCCCAAAGACAAATACGGTAACAACAAAAATAAATAATGGATTTAAGTGTATTAGAAAGCTTCTATACAGCAAAGGTAATAATCAACAGAGTACACAGACAAACCACAGAATGGGAAAAATATTCACAAGCTATCCATGCAACAAAGGACTGATATCCAGAGTCTGCAAAGAACTCAAACAAATCAGCAAGAAAAAACCAAAGAACCCCATCAAAAAGTCAGCAAAAGACATGAACAGAAGTTTTTTGAAAGAAGATAAAGGGCCAACAGACATGAAAAAATGCTCAGCATTACTAATCAGGGAAATGCAAATTTAAACTGAAATGAGATATCACCTTACCCCAATCAGAATGGCCACAATTAAAAAGTGGGAAAAAAACCCCAATAGATTTAGGCATGGATGTAGAGAGAAAGGAACACTTACTTATACCCTGTTGGTGGGATTGCAAATTAGTAGAACCTCTGTGGAAAACAGAATGGAGATTCCTCAAAGAAATAAATGGAAGAGTTACTGTTGATCCAGCAATCCTACTACTGGGTATCTACCCGAAGGCAAAGAATCATTTTATAAAAAAGACTTATCTTCTAAGACCCACTTACTCTGTTGAGGGAGAAAAATATATCCTGCTTATTACTCATTTTCAGTGGCACAGTTTTGAAATACATTTTAAAAGTTATTTTATAGGGCACCCTTTCCTCAGTTTTCTGAGATCACTTCTGTTACTTTGTCCCTGGACCAAGGCAATTAAAAATTCCGTTTTGTGTGGGCTAGGAATCAATTGGATTATATCATTTCTCGTTCTCCAGAAATCATTTTCTAACCAAAAACTGGCTTCTTATCGCACTGTGCTTAATGCTATTGTCAGGATGTTTTAGTCTAGAGCATTTTGAAGGGTGGGTTTTGATTTTGCTAAACTGAAGGCTTTTTTCTTAGTTGCTCTGCTGACCCTTCACTTAGAGGGTCCAGTTTATTGTCTTCATAATCTAAGAACTAGGGCTGACGTCATATTCAGAAATGGTTCCCCAGCAGCCCCAGTGGTGCCCGATGTCCCTCCTTTGCGCTGCCGCAGCCTCCTCTGCAAACCTCTGCGGAGCAGGCAGTGTTCTAAGAAGCCTCTTCCTGTGGCATCCTGTGTGTCTTTGTGTCCCTAGTGTCCGCCTAGCATGGTGCACATCACTTGAAAGGCATCAATACTGACTGCTAAACTCAGCAAAATGACCCAGTACAGAAGGCTCCTCTCCTGCCATCCAGATTCCAGATTAAAATCTGAGCAGGAATGCTCGCTACTTTTAAGAGCAGGCAGACCTGAATTCAGATCCGGTCTTAACCGTGTGCTAGGTGTATTATTTTGACAAGATCCTTCACTGAGCCTCTGCTCCTGCTCATTCTCAGGCTAGGGATTCTACAATCCCCTGGCAAAATTGTTATCAAAATTGCAAGTAATACTGAGGTCCCTAGCTTAGCACCTGGTATGTTGCCGGCCCCTGGAGAAGGGAGACTTATTAATGTGATGGCTCCTCTAAGTCTGGGGCTCTCATTTGAAAATAACTCCTCTAATAAAGTATATGATACATTTCACTTCATTCTGATCCATTACCAATAATTTTTTTCTGTTTGTATTTTTTTTATTAAATAATAGCTGTGTACATTAATGCAATTATTGGGTACCTTGTGCTGGTTTTATATACAATTTGAAATACTTTAATGAAACTGGTTAATATAGCCTTCACAGCATTTTCTTAGTTACTGTGTTAAGATATTTATATTCTACACTTAGTAGATTTAACATGTACCCTCGTAAAATGCACCATAAGTGTGGTCCCACCAATTATCCTCCCTCCACCCATCTTCCCCCCTCCCCTCCCCTCTCCTCCTCCTTCCCCTTCATCTTGGGGTATAGTTGGTTTATAGCTTTCATATGGAAGTGTGGGTGTTTATGAATTGGTTTCTTCTGTTTGCATTTTTAAGAGACTTTTTGGTTTGATTCTTTTTTTAACAATATTTAAAACTTTTCTCTGTAAGATTCAGGTAACTAGACAATAAGATGAACTGAATGAATGGAGATGAACTCCATTCTCCTTGCTTTAGTCTCATTCGCCAGAATATAGAATGTTGCAGTATATGCCTAGGGGTTTATCATTAGGATTAAATAAGATAGTAGACGGAAAACATTTTAAACAGAGTCTGAAACATAGTCAGCACTTACGGACATAGACTAATTCTGTGTGGTTCTCCCGCCCACATCCCTCTATTCTGCTGTCCAGAACGTTTCCCTTTGTTTTATGATGGTTATTTATTGTGTGTCCTAGTCACTTTCCTATCAGTCACCACACTATAAGAAAAGATGAACATGTATGATGAAACTGAAGACGTTTAAAAGGGAAGGTTGGGAAGAAGCTGCAGATGAGTTTGTAAGATTCACAAGGGAAATGTGTCCTTTATCTGTTTTGTTTAGGTTTGGCCGGAAGCGGACGTTAGCAGCATTTCTGTGCCTAGGAGGCCTGGCTTGTCTTATTGTAATGTTTCTTCCAGAGAAGAAAGGTATGCCTTTGAATAGCACTTTCATTACAATGAATCTCAGTGTCGTCGGGACATGACCATATGCCAGGCTTCATTTCTGTGATTGCATATTATTTAGCAATTGTGTGGGGTATAATGGACCAGATTCTTTCCATGGCTTCAACTCTTCTCTGGGTGAATAGAGGTGCACTATTAATTCTTTCGGGCTATTAAGCTACCATCTGGGGTGGTTAGGATGCAGTACTGGTGATGTGAGAGTTGTTTATTTGATGGTAATGAGGACCAGTTAGTTCTGCACAGAACGAAACTCTGTCCAAGGTTGCACATTGCACTTTCCATTTCAGCTAACCACAAGATTGCGGTTCTCAAAGGTGGCTTTGGTACGCTGAATATCTTCATCCGTAGTCTTAAGGTACCCCGGTAGTAACAAAAACAACAGCAATAAGAATATTATTCACTGTTGGTGACACTGGATATTCTCTCAATCTTATGTAAAGTATAAATAAAACGTCTTTAGGAAGCTGGGTTTTTTTTTAATATATTGGTAGTTTTGCTTTGCAAACATAGCTTCAAAAAAAGTCCCTTTGGCATCCTCATGGAACCTGGTCACTGTCCCTATGTAGAAAGTCCATAGGTGCTGCTGTTTCTCAGTCTTTGTACTAGCACTCCTGAGGCCGTGGGGACTGCAGTTCTCTCTGTGGTTCTCAACAAAGAGGAATGGGCCATCACAACTGTCTGATGTGGGACATGCAGTGTAACAAGAGCCCTGTTTCAGAGGCTTTTAGATTTTGATAAGGCTCTAGGACAGCGCTTGCATTCCTGGTGAGAGATGGTTTGACATAAAGTTTTGATAACTACTGCAAATGCATGAAAAATTTACTACCCATCAGAGCACATTATATATGAAGTGCTCCTTTGGAAAACTGCTTCTCCCTGAGGTTCACTTGTGCCCATGTCTGACTAACGACCCCAAAGCTGCTTGTTCTCCTTGTTTCATGACCCTTCAGTTACCCACTCGGCTTCTTCGAGTTCTGTCCTGAGTCCAGACTATGGTTTGTTTACGAGTTAGAGATTTTGCCCAATATTCAGGGCAGCCTTTTAAAATGATTTTCATGGAATTGTAGAAAGCAGAGAATTCAGCAAGTTTGCCATTTCTCATTCTCTATGCAGATTGATGCCCCTGCTAGTGCCAGGTGGAGGGGAAGCTCCTTGGCAGTCACCAGCCGCGGGCTGTGGGGCCAGGCGCCCAGTTCTGCCTGTCTGGGGCAAGGCAGTGATGGGCTTCTTACACTAGGGTTGTATGTGTGGCAGATTTTGTTTTCCATGGGTCCCTAAGGAATTCATTTGTGTTCTGCTGCAGCAGTAGGTAAGTCTGTTTTCCTTACCTGCTCATAGAGAAACGCTTCTCATTATTCCTGGAATCAGACTCACAACCTGTCACACCTCTGCAAGCCAGACCAATTAGTGTCTTTTCTCCCTCTTCCTCACACACACAGATAACCCGCCCTCAAGGACTCTCTATGTGGCCCTTTGTTGAAATTATCTCTCAGAAATCACCAAACAAATCTCCACAGAGAAAGCAGATGGTTGGTCTCTCCTCTAGACCAGTGCGCACCACTCTGCTTGGTTCCGGTCTGTTTTGAAAGAGCAACTGCAGCCCTTTGTTCACTGTGCCCCTGGGTGGGCACTGAGCAGGAGCAGCTGAGTGGGGGCCTCTGGCGGGGTGGGCACTGAGCAGAGTAACCTAGTAGAGGCCTCTGGTGGGGTGGGCGCTGAGCAGCAGCAGCCTAGTGGGGGCCTCTGGCCGGTTGGGCACTGAGCAGCAGCAGCCTAGTGGGGGCCTCTGGCCGGTTGGGCACTGAGCAGC